AAAAAAAACAAAACTAACATCACTGGTAATAAAAAGCATTCTGCGATGAGGTAGCGAGACAGGAAAAGTAGCCGTTGGACTGCGTTCATCATCTGTATTTTCAACAGCCACTAGGAATATACCATGCAGAAAAGCAATGGCTTCCGGTAAAAACCTAAAAAATAAAAATAAAAAAAAATACAAACATCAAAAAAATTTGCGAACACCTCAATTTTGCCTTCTTTTTTTACTGGAATTCGCTACTAGCCCTCTTCACTAATTTATGCGATTTTCCATATTTCGCATTCGTACAACAAAACTGAACTGGAAAATGTCGCCTTCACAGTCGAAGCTATGTTAGTGTTGAAAAAACATCTAGTAATACAGTAGAAAAGTTCTAATAGAAAGTTATAATAGGAAGGAATGAAATAACGGAAATGAAAAAAGAGGGTAAGAAATGAAAATTAGAAAATCTGTGAGTTTATTATAACGGTAAGAAGTGTTTCGGTCCATTATCAGTTCCTCCCGGCACCAAGAATTTTTGATTTACTCAGCCACCGCCTCAAACCAAGACAAAGAGAAAATTTACCTCTTACTAGCAGCAAAATACGATCCGAGGATTCGAACTAATAGCAAAGCGCGTGCAGCATCTCTGATATTACAAATTCGTACAGTTGAAATAAGACGACAAGCGAATGCGATAAGTGGACTGATAACCGGATGAAATCCTTCGCCAACTGGATAGAGATTTGAGGCCAATTTCATGAAGGCGATAGCACGGAACGTGAACATTTCACGTGGCGCACGTGAATGCAGCGCATACTGCTGACGCAACAATGCACGCATACAGCGTGCACAGTACTCGGTATCAAACTGAAATTTAAAAATCATTTAAGAAAATACGAAAAAGGATGAAACGAAGCAAAATACTTTCAAAATTCATTACTCCTACATCATCGACAAATGCCTGGAAGTAAAAGTACATTACAATTCAGTAACCTGTGAGAAACAGAGTTGTGCTGCCCGCTCTGCCCAATGGAAGCAAGAAAACTGTCAACACAAAAATTAGTAGAACAAAAACCCAAGCCAAAACAACGCCAAATTCATCCTCATGTACATGAATTTATATCAAGTGAGACTGAAAAATTGCAAAAAAATTGCGATACAACATAAAACAGACAAAAATTAGCGTAATTAGCTCAGAAGTGCAAAATTAAAATTAAATAAGTTCAAAAACCTGAATCAAAAAAAAACCAAAAAAAAACGAGCAAGTAACTTGTAAAAGCGAGAGGGGAGTAGTGGGGGGCATGAAAGGCGGGAGAAGGAGAGGAGTGGGAGGAGGGGAAGGACGAGGGGAAGGGGGAAAAAGATACCATGCACGACGAGAAAGAAAATGGCAAAATAAGAACTGCATGCCATAAGTAACAAGGTTTGAGTAGAACTGCCCCTCCCCCCGTCTTTCTTCCCCTCTCCGTCCCCGTCCCCCCTACTCTTCCATTCCTCCGTTATATCGGA